GCCTGTCCTCATTTCTGCTTACCTGCTAATAATTAGGGATACTGAGTTCTGTTTTAACTTCTGTTTGGGACCATGAATTGGGACTTGCTCTTGTATTCCACACCAACAAGGCCAAAAGTCTCTGGTTTCAAATCTGGGGACAGAATTTGAAGCATTTTGCAGTTCAATTGGACATCACTTGTTGAGAGTGAACTTTTTGCTTTCTACCTTGGTATTCCAGAACCTCTTTTCTTCAGGAATGGTAAATGGAAATTTGAATAGTACTTCTTTAAGTAGTGATATAATCACTGCTTCTAAAATGTTTTTGTTTGTGGGAGAATTTTCCAGTTTCTTACACTAACTTGCTTTAGTAGCCCGACTTGGAAATTAATTGCTACGGTAAATTTTTAGGGTTTATTTTTGATTTTGTAATTCTTGAAAAGAGACTAAAAGCCTCTTTTTCTAGGATGTGTATTTGTAGCCCTGACCAAAGACAATGTATTTGTAGAGCTTTTTTGTCTTCCAAATGTGGCCATCTGACATTTCTGTGTTCGTAAAGCATTGACATCTGGATTATTCCAACCATATCTCAGAAAATTAGTAGTATTAAACTCAGATTTGCAAATAATACTTGGTAATTCATGAAATAAGGGACCTATTTCCTTTTGAATGATCTTCATTAGGTTGAAAATGAAAAAACTGAGAGCACAAAGCTCAAAAGGGAGAATCAAAACTTGATGGGAAAATGTGAAAATCTGGAGAAAGCTAAGCAGAAGATTTCTCATGAACTTCAAGTCAAGGAATCACAAGTGAATTTTCAGGAAGGACAGCTGAATTCAAGCAAAAAACAAATAGAAAAACTGGAACAGGAACTTAAAAGGTAATTTTTTAAATGGTATTTAGATGGTGTTGTTTGCATGTATTCATCAGATGCATTTATCTTTTCCTTTAACAGTGTAATTATATATATTGCAATGTTTTTTTCCAGATGGAATGAACAGCGATTCAATTCCATCATTGAAAAGCCCAGTACGATAATGATTCCATCATTGCAAAGCCCAATACTATATAAATTCATCAAATACTTTCCTGCTTATTCATTTACTTGCTCAGTATATGTTTATTAAGCGGTTCCATGTGCCAGCACTGTGTTGGTCACTGGGTGATACAATCATAAATAATACCACAACCGTCAACAGTAGCTATTGGAAAGATGGAAGGAAGTTAAAGCATGGCTTATGCTGATGGCTCATGTTTTCTCTGGGTGGAGGAGCTGTTGCAGAGAATGAGGGAGAACTAGGGAATTATAAAAGTATAAAAGGATTGAGGAGCAATCCTTTATACTTTATAAAAGTATAAAAGCCCAGTGGAGGTTGGAGATCAGGGATTTGTAGTGGGATCGATCTATAGGGTTGTGA